TCAAATTATTTTTTGCAGAATTTCAAATAAATTCTTCGCAAAAATTTAATTATTTTCAGTTTCATTAAATTTCCCGAAAGATTGTAAATATTTTCAAAAATTGTAATAAAATTCTTCGCAGAAATTCAATTATTTTTAGTATAATTTCAATTAAATTCATCACAAGAATTCAATTATTTTCAGTACAATTTTAATTAAATTTCTCGAAAAATTTCAAATATTTTCAAAAATTCTATAATCAAATTCTTTGTAGAAATTCAATCGTTTTTAAAAAATTTTCATAAAATTCTTTATGAGATTTCATTTATTTTCAGTACATTTTCTATTAAATTCTTCTTAAGAATATACAATTATTATCTTCGCAGAAATTGAATTATTTTAAAAATTATATTAAAATATTATTAAATTATATTAAAAATATAATTCAATAAATTAGAATTTTGGCAATTTTACAATTCAAAGCATTAAAAAAAATTGTCATTAAAATTATTATTTTATCATTTATATTATTTATATTATTATTTTATCAATTTATTCTAAACACCAAATTTCACAAAAAATTATCTAATTTTAAATTCTTACTTAATATTTACACTTTTGTGGTTTTTATTTATAACAAAACTGCAATATTAATATGTGCATTAGAAAAATACTTTGATTAGTAATCGAATCCAAGAAGAGTATTCAGTAAATTAAATGAATTTTTAACAAAATTTCGAATTCCAGAAGAAAACCAAGTGACGAAACCTGAGAAATCTTTTTTTCCTTCTTCAGGTTCATTAACACTTTTTATACTGGAAAAATAAAATTTCAATGTTAGAATCACAAAAAATTCAAAAATTTAAAATTAATAGAAAATTTATATTAAATCAAATTTATTTATTTATAAAAACGAGCGATAAAACTCGTTTAAATAAAATTAAATAAATTGATATTCGTTGATCAACGAAAAAATTTTTTTAGTAATATTCCAAGTAAATTAATTAAAAATGACGCAGCATCAACGTTGTAGACTTCAACTTTGTGTTTAATTGATTAAAATAAATATTATTTCATTTTAAAAACAAATTGAAAATAAAAAAGTACTAAAATTTTTATTAACTTACAAATGAATAATATTATTCTTGAACATTCTATCATTATTATTATTATGAAATTCACCATTTTCAATTTTATTCAAGTCGTTAATTTTCTTTCCATTTTCATTAATTTTCTTCTCATCGTTTTTATCAATATTCTCTTCGTTTTCATTAAATGATAAAAGGCCCTCTTCTGTTAGATCACAAAATATTGTATAAATTAAAGTGAAAACTATAAAGACTACCACTTTCATTTTCCTTCGATTTGAATGTCAATCACAAAAATTCAATAAAGAACTGTTCAATTTTTCTTCTCGACAGGAAAAAATAGTTCATTGTCTTCACTGCGAGAAAATTTTTAAAAATACTCTTTATCATTTCAATAAACAGTGTGATTGTCTTCATTCTTTGTTTATTCAATCTTTTTCAATACGATGTTATTGTATTTATTAATTTATTTTTAACGTAAGGTTTTTTAACAATTACTTAACACTGAGAATATTTTTTTTTTAATTCAAAAATAAGTAGCCAACCAAAAAAATATAATTGAATTTAACGTATTTTACAATTGAATTAAACATAATTTTTATTGAATCAAAATTATTTAATTCAAAAATAATTTTTTATTGACTGTATAACAAAGATAATTATGTTTTATTCAAATATAGTTTTTTCTCAGTGAATAGAAAATAATGATGAAATTTGTTTGCATTAATTTTACAAACATTATCTGTTAAATTTGGTCACTCTCGTAATCCTAAATTTCAGTCGAGCTTTCAGTGTTATAATTTTGCTTTTATCTTTTATTTAATAAAACTTGAATTTTATAAACATTATCTGTAAAATTCGTCACTCTCGTGTTTCGTATAATTATAGTTTTTAGTGTTATTATAATTTTCGTTTTATTTAATAAATCTTTAAATTTATAGACACTATCTGTAAAATTCGTCACTCTCGTAATCATAATTTTGACTGTTATTATAATTTTGGTATTTTTCGTACATTCTCCTAAGAATATTTTCATTAACTTTATTAATTGATGGAAAATATTTCATTGTTCGTATATTGTCGACAATATTTTGCCTTTTCTCTGCTACCTTATCAAACTTGATGAATGGTAAAAAGTTTTTCATTGCTATCGGACTTTTGGACAACTCGAACAAATCATTTGTCACTGAAGATTTTAACAATTTTTCTCCTGTACTCGTTTTTGATAAATTTTTCCCCTCGGGACAAAATTTGTTATGCCGACATTGATAGTTCGATGTTACTTTAGGTTTACGACGCCCTCTCATCGTCAATTGTTGTGATTGGCATAATTCACGTTTTGTCTGATCCTTGGAAATGAGACCCAAAAATGCAAGAAAACCGTCTGTTTTACAATCTTCATCATCATTATCATTAACATTATCACTATTTTTATCGATAATTTTCGATTCGTTAAATATCGGATTTAAATCAGATAATGTTGAGTCAACTTTTTCAGTATTAGTTAATGATGGACGTGGGCGAAAAGGGCGCGAGGGACGTGAGGGACGTATTGGTCGTACTGGACGATTTGTTACAAATCCAGGATTTGGGGAATGAAGTGGCTTATGAGATGTTGTTGATGGACGAACTGGTTTTTGAGTTGAAGAAGAAGAAGAAGAAGTGGAAGTTACGGGTGGCTTTGAATGATCCTTTTCACAATCATGTTTTTTTGGTATAAACATAAAACTGTCGAGTCCTTCAATGACGAGCATGCCACCGGTTTTTTTCCTGTCTTGTAAAACGAGTCCTGCTTCTGGATAATTTCTCATATTATCCAAATAATCGTCTTGAGAACGCTTGTCAGAATGTTTACTATCACTTCTTTTTAGTTTTGTCAGAGTTGTGTGAACATTGGTTGATAAATATAATTGAATGATGATGATAGTACTGATCATGATGTGACAGAATTTTGTCATTTTTAAGCAAGGAGAAACTAAGTTTCACTTATTTCTTTTTGATTTGGACTTTTTTAAATTAAACTTCTGATAAAACAGAGCTGTAAATCACTCACTTATTAACTCGAATCGATTTTATGTGATTGAGTTTTATAATTGTTGATTTTCCTTGAAACTTGACGTCGAGAAAATAAAAATCTTTGTAATGGAAAATATTTTCAAAACAAAGGAAATATTTTTTGCTTCAATACTTCAGAGACTTTTTTCTTTGCATATATTACTAAATATACTTTTCTAAATTTATTTCTATTATTATTTTATAATTATATTTATTGATTTATTTATTTATTATTAACAGCTTTATTCCTCCATGAATTTATATAGTATGTACTTTTTATCCCAAGTATTTATTATTGTTATTTTTATATTTTGTATTTTACTGTCGCGATAGTTAGAAATTGTTTAAACAATTAGAAAGCGGATAAGAATGCCCTGATCGATATAAATACTCAAGGAAACTTAAATTCTGAAGGACAATTTTAAAGAACCAAAAATTTAACTAAAAACTTTAAGAGTATTTATACTTAATTTAAAAATAAAATTAGTTAGTGCGGCGAACTTCCCTGGATTATTTTTAAAAATTTCAATAAAATTCTTAAAAAATTCAATTTTTAAATGGGATTTTAGGAAATTTCAATTAATTGTTCATAAAAAATTTAATATCTTTATAAAAAAGAATTAAAAATTTTCAAAAATCTAATTTTTCAGAAATTTAAATCTAATTTTTCGAAACATCAATGTTTAAACAAACTTTTAAATTTGTTTTCAAAACTGTAATTTTAACTCATTCTAAATTATTTTAGATGCAATTTGGAATATTGATAATTAGTTTTTACAGTAAAAAACATAAATACATTCGATTGTGACTTGTTGCAAAATTCAATTATCAATTATTATTTTATAGTAAAAAAAAATTAAACTTCTATAAAAATGTAATTTTTTTAAATTTCTAATCGTTTATCCAGTTTAAATATTTTTAATTTGATTTTACAAAATTTCAATTATTTTAATAATTCTTCAATAAAATTTTTTCAAAAAAACTCAAGAATTTCTAAAAAATTAAATTAAAATTTATAAGAAACCTAATTTTTTCAGAATTTAAAATTTATATAATGTTTAAAATAAATTTTTATTTATTATTAGTTTCTTAACATCAATTGAAAGTTTTAGAAGAAATTTAGTTTAAAACTTTCTAAAATTCATTGTATCTGAAAAATTTAACGTTTCATAACAAAAAAATCTTTTCTGAGTTAATTATAATTATAATTTAAAAAAAGTTGTTCGCAAGAATTGAATTATTTAAAATAAATTGAAAAATTTACAGAGTTAAGAAAAAATCAGGGCATTGTTTTAAAATTCATTGTAATTGAAAATTCAACAATTATTATTATTTAAAGTTGAAACTAAAATAATTGTATATAAATTAATATTTAATTGTTGTTAATAGCCACACATTAATTGAAGTTTTTGAAAAATTTTAGTTCAAATCCATCTAAAATTGAATTATTTTTTAAAGTTAGTACTGTTGTTAACTAAAATCTATTCTAATAAGTTAATAAGTATTAGTAACTATTTGAAAAAAAGTTATTTTAGAATTTAATTATTTAAAATAATTGTAATTATTCACCGAAATAATAAAAAATAAAGAAATTGTTTTAAAATTAATTTTTATACCTTTAAACTTTTAAACAATTTTGTAAATCAATGATCAATATGCAAAAAAAGTTATATCCCAAGAAAGGTACCTAAGAAGCAAAAAATTGTAGGTTATGTTTATAACTTTTGGAATAAAAATTTTAAAAAAAATTTTAATCTTTAGGTACCTTTCTGTTAGTTTCCTGAAATTTCGTCTCTAAAGATAGTGAATCGTACAACTTATTTGCTGTACTTCAATATAAATGTTTAATTAAAAAAACTATTTTTCTCTTAATTAAATTTATTTTAAAATATTATTAACGTAATTTCGATTATCTTGTGACAATAAATAAGGCGGAGGTAGTGAATTTAAAGGAATCGGTTGTAAATTCATAATCATTTTTTTCAAATTATTCAAATCCAATTTCTGTAAAAACTCCACAATTCGCGGATATTGTTTAATGTATTTTTCCCCATTCAATGATCTAGTAATTGCATCAGTAACATTTAATTTACATGATTCAAACGTCGATTTACAATTTACTGGAAAAAGACCCAAAATTGCTAAAAAATTCTTTCTTCGACAAACATCATCGCATTCTGCATCAAATTGTGGTCGTATGGTTGTGACAATTCCAAAAAATGGACTCGCAACTTTATCGCCATCATGACTTCCTATTGGTTTAAAATAATCTTCATCTGAAATTGATTTATCATCAAAGTTTCCAAATTTTCCAGATTCATTAGTTTTCGAATGATGGGAATTTTCATCTAAGTCTGGATTAGCAATGAAAGGATCATAATCATCTAATGAACGTGAGCCATTCTCTTCGCAACTCTCACTCGACACAAATGTTTCTGGATTACTGATATCGACATAATTTGCAGTTGTATTATATTCAGGATCGACTGATACAAATTGTTCGTCAATTTCCTGTGTCACTTCTTCGCAACTTATTTCCAATTGTTCTGGTTTCTCCTGATGTGGTTTTTCTGAAAATTTAGGTGATTTTATTTTGTTACGAGCTATTAGTGGATGATGGATAAATTGGTGCTTGAAAAGATTCATCAAATAGTTATATTTCGAAATTAATAACGCTATTATCAGGGAGATTTCATGAGGGGGTTTTGGTACATCCTCACCTTGGCTTTCGCTGGAAATTGGTTTAGCAGGGGATTGAGATGGTTTCTCTGGAGGTTCAACTGGTTTTTCGGGTATTACCGATGGTTCGTGTTCGGAATCAGTAGGAGATGACTTATCATCCTGTTCTTCGCAACTTTCGGTTGAAATCGGCTTTTCCGGTTGTACAACAGGTGGGCGAATTGGTTTTTCTCCACTTTCAGTTGGTTGTAATGGTTCTTCTTCGGATTTATCGCCTTGTTCCTCACAACTTTCACTAGAAACGATAACTCCTGGATGTTGAATTGGTGGTCTAGTTGGTTTTTCGCCACTTTCGGGTCGATGAAGCGGTTCTTCTTCAGATATATCGCCTTGTTCTTCGCAACTTTCGCTAGAAATGGTAATTCCAGGTTGCTGGATTGGTGGACGCGATATTTCGGCACTTCCACTAGAAATCGGGTGTCCAACAGGCGGTCTAGTCGGTTTTTCTCCACTTTCAGGTGGTTGTAATGGTTCTTCTTCAGTTTTATCGCCTTGTTCTTCGCAACTTTCACTAGAAACGACAAGTCCTGGATGTTGAATTGGAGGTCGAGTTGGTTTTTCGCCACTTTCACCCGAAATCGGCTTTTCCGGTTGTCCACCAGGCGGTCGAGTCGGTTTCTCTCCACTCTCGCCTTGTTCCTCACAACTTTCACTGGATCCAACAAGTCCTGGATGTTCAATCGGTGGCCGAGTTGGTTTCTCAACACTTTCACTCGAAATCGGTTTTTCTTCACTTCCGGGTTCGTGAACCAATTCTTCTTCAGTCTTATCGCCTTGTTCTTCGCAACTCTCACTTGAAATCGGTTTTATAGGCGGTCCAGTTGGTTTTGCAGTTGTAGGTTTTACAGTTGTTGATACTACAGGTGGTCGACTTGGTTTTGCTGTTGTAGGTTTTACAGTTGTTGATACTGCAGGCGGTCGAGTTGGTTTTTCAGTGGTTGTTGGTTCGGGTCTCTCAGTACTCGTAGTAGAATAATCCGGTTTTCCGATTTCTTCAGAACTGACACCACCAGAAGAAAACTCCGATTCAGATGAATCTGATTCTTCAGTATCCGAAACTTCACTATCGCTCGAACTTTCTTCAATATCTAAAGACGATTCATCACTTTCATCCGTGAAACTTATTTCTTCCGGACTCTCCTCTGAATCACTAGATGTATCATTAGGACAAGGCTTTGATCCAACCGGATGGATCGGCATTTCTAAACTATCCTCGAAACTATAAATCGGTGATGTTTCTTCTTGTTCTTCAGGTGGTTTTTCTGAACTTTCCTCGATAATTGGTGGTGGTTTCGTTGTTCCCTCCTCATGTAATTCTTGACTGTCATTATGGTGACGATATGGAATAAAGATCATTCTGTCGAGACCATTAATCACCAATGTTCCTCCAGCACGTTTCTTGGGATTTTTTTCTTCGTTCATTGCCTCCTCGATTATGGCATTTCTCTTAAAAATATGTGCACTTGGAATATTTTGATTCATTTTTGAATTTATTAACGGAAAACTAGTTAGTACTTGGGATAGATGACTTACAGTTAGCATTGTAATAATAATTTTGTCAATTTTCATCATCTTGAAGAACAATATTGTACAACAGTATGGCAATTGGAATTCTTTCTCTTCTGATTATTGCAATCGATTTTAATGCCTTTTGTAACAATTGCAAATTGATGATTACGTTGAGTGGTTCGATTAAATATTACCTGTTGATGCATTTTCTTTTCTGTGTCAAAAAAAATACTTTGCAGCATTTTTCATTTTATTCCTATAAATCCGCAGTTCTAAATTTTGAGAAAAATACATAAAATTTTGTTTTTTATAGGTATCTAATTATCAAAATGGAAAGTTATTTTTCATTTTTAGAAATAAAACTGTTGGAATATTTTTATTTACTAAAACTGAATTTTTCACCACTAATTATGTTAAAAATTATTTATTTATTATTTATTACAAATTTTAAATTTACTTTATATTTTAAATTCAACATCGAATTTAAAAATTTAGAACAAAAAAAAATTGATATTTCTAATTCAATTGATGACGTAAAAAGCTTTTCTTAAACCTCAATCGATTGAAATTAAAGCTTGCGCAGTGAAAGCAAAGCCACGCGACGTCGCACTATTTATTCGTTCAAGTCTGTAAAGGATAGTGATTTTCATTCATTATTTTTCTATAGAAAATTAGGTTATTGGAAATAAAGTAAGTAGATCAGTGTAACAATTATTATACTATTCATCATATTATAGAAGACAAACATCAGATTAATTCAACAAACAATAAATCATCTTGTATCATTTCATAATTTCATTAACAACAATTTCATTTCATATTTTCTCCAAAATTCGTCAATTTCATATTAATTAATTTACTAACACCCACTCACAGATGATTTTAACTATTGTCATTCATTTTCAACATTTACAACTTCAATTTTTGACATTCATAAAAGAAAAAAATTCCACCACATGTGAATTTCAAAAAAATCAAGATGGAAGTAATACAGAAAGTTTAAAATAGGAGAAAAATAAAAAATATCTTTAATTACAGAATTAAAAAAATGCCGTCAGTTCGAAGAATGATACTCGGACATGTGATAACGGATGTATGTGGGAAAATGAACAGAAGAAAAAATTTACAGGGAGACATAATGGAGACACCATTAAAAAGATGTCTCTCAACTTTTGATATCACGTTACTCGGTAATGTTTTCTATATTTAATTTTTTTTCTTTAGAAATTTTAATTAGTGGAAATAAATCCTAACAGATAATACATTTAATGAATAATATTATTAATTAAACACTTTGATTTTATTATTAATAGTACTAATTAAATGCTTTAATTATTAGTGCTATTAATTAAATACTTTATTTATTAGTGCTATTAATAAAGTACTTTAATCATTAATGTTAATAATTAATAACATATGTTCCTACAAACAGAGAAAAATTTTATTTGAACCAACTAAAGTGCATTTCAGTTTTATCTGAACCAAATAAAATTTATTTGAAACAACTAAAAAGTTTTGTAATTTTTGAGTTTTTTATCTAAATTTTTTTATCTATAAATAAATATTCACTTAAAATATTTTTCGAAATTCAGTTTTCACCCAGAGAAAATTTTTATTTCAACCAAATATAATTTATTTGGTTATAAAGTTATATTTGTCTTAAAACCAACTAGGTTATTTATTTGTTTTAGTAAAAATTTTATTCAACATAAATAAAACCTTTATGCTAACCAAATAAAATTTATTTTAAACCAGGATTGTCACAGGTCAGGGAAGTTAGAGAATTCAAGGAAAAGTCAGGGAGAGTAGAATTGGTTAGGGAAATCAGGAAAAAGTTAGGGATTTTTATTAAAAGTACTGGGAAAAATTAAATTTTTAGAATTCATAAGAAAATTCTGAATTTTTGTGTCTTTTTTGTGTGTCTTATAAACAATGAAATTACCAAGAATTAGATACAAATTATTTAATGAATAATTTTATTCAACTATTTCAAGACTAATTGAATTTTTAAAAAATTGCGTTTACAATTTTCATAAATAGATGAACTTCAAAAGGTTTTAATTTAAAACTTTTTCTTTTTAATTTTAATTTTTAATGAATTGAATTAGAAATATTTTTAAGAACTAATATTTCTGAAAAAATTTAATTCAAATTCTGTTGAAATTAGTTGAATTTTCTAACATATATTTAATTATTATTAAAAATAATTGATTTAGGAAAGAATTTTCTAACAATTATTCAAAAGAATTGATTTAGAGAAGTATTTTAGTTAAAAACTCTAAAAAATAATTAAATTTTGAAAAGGTTTTAAATTAAAATCTTTGAAAATACATCTTTAATACCTTTAAATAACAATTCTGTAGAACTATAATTTTCTTGAAAAATTCTTTTGAAATTAGTTGAATTTATTATTTTTTATGGAAAATTTTTGAATAATTGAAATATCATAAAATTAAATTGAAAAGGAGTGAATTTCAAAATAAATTTGGGTATGAACTTTCTTTATTCTTTGAATAATTAAATTCTCAAAGAACTTTGTCAAAAGTAATTTAAAATAATTGATTTAAAGAAGACTTTTAGTTAAAAATTCCAAAAAATTGAATTTTGGAGAAGTTACAAATGATTGCAATATTTCAATTATTTTCAAACCTAATAAAATTCTTCGCAAAAATTAAATTCTGTTAACATTTTTTTAAAATTTTCTTCTAAATTTCAATTATTTTTATAAATATAATAAAATTTTTCTCCAAAATTCAATTATTTTCCAAAATTTTAATAAAATTCTTAGCAAAATTTCAATTATTTTCAATAATTTTTCTGAATTCAATGATTTCCAATATCTACTACTTTAATAAAATTTTCCAAAAGAATTCAACTATTTAAAAAAAATTTAATAAAATGCTACACAATCATTTAATTATTTTCTAAAATAATAAAAATTCCACAGAAACTAAAATATTTTCATAAGTAATAAAATACTTTTTATGAATTTTTGAAAATAATTGAAATTTTCATAAATAATAAAACTCATCGAAGAATTTCAATTATTTATTTATTTTTAGTACAATTTTAATCAAGTTTCTCAAAAAATGGAAAAAATCTTTAAAATTTTATTAAAATTCGTCAAAATTTCAATTTTTTTAAAATACCTAATAAAATCTCCAAAAATTAATTATATTCAAAAATTTTAATAAAACTCTTGGTAAAATTTTAAATATTTTCTCGAAAAAAAATGCAATTAAACTTTATCAAAAAAATTAATTTTACAGAATTGTTAGTTAAAAATATGAAAAATCCAAATTATCAAAGATTTTAATTTGAAACTTTTTCAAAATTCAATTATTATCTAAAATCTACAAGAATTCAATTATTTAAGTACAAAAGTAAATAATTTATTGAATAATTGAATATTTCTTAAAATTGAATTCTCATAAAGAATTTTATCAACAAATTTTAAATAATAATTTTTAAGAATAATGATATTTCTCGAGAAATTCAATTATTTAAAAAAGAATTGGAATACATTTAAAACAAAAAATTATTAAAAATTTTTTTTATTAAATTCTTTGCAATAATTCAATTATTTTAATAAATAATAAAAGTCATCGCAGAATTTCAATTATTTTTAATACAATTTTAATTGAATTTCTCGAAAAATGTAATTACAACTATTCTTAAAAATTTTATTAAAATTCCTCGACATAATTCGATTATTCAAAAATTTGTTGATAAAATTTTTTAATGAATTTTTAGAAATAATTTAATTTTGAAAAGGTTTTAAAATAAAATCTTTAAAAATTTGAATTTTTCATACTTTTAAATAACAATTCTTTAGAAATAATTTTTTTTGATAAAGTTTAGTTGAATTTTTCAAAAAAAATTATTTGTCTCCTTTTTTCCAAACTGTTGGAGGAAAAAAAAATGTTTCATTTATTTGAACGTCTAAAACTCTTTTAAAATAATTACTTTCATTATTAATTATAATTAATATTAACACAGGAATAAAATTAAATCAAGTAATTAAGTAATTTAATTATCAACGCTCTTAATTAAATTAATGAATCTAATAAACATTACTAGCGTGAAATTAATCTTTATGTAACAGGTGTGGGTCACATGATTGGTGCTGGAATTTACGTTTTAACTGGAACAGTCGCACACGATATAGCAGGGCCTGGTGTAATTGTTAGTTTTATAATTGCTGGATTTGTTTCATTATTAGCAGCACTTTGTTATGCAGAATTCGGAGCCAAAGTCCCTAGGGCCGGAAGTGCCTATATTTACACGTATGTAACTATTGGCGAATTCTGGGCATTCGTCATTGGATGGAATATTATTTTGGAGCACATGATAGGTATATGTAATTTATAACAAAAAATAATAAGAATCCTAAAACTATTAATTTAATAATAAATAATAATAGAAATAGCAGTGATAGTAATGATAATAATAATAATAATAATAATAATATTGCTAATAACAGAAAATATAATTGAATTGTTAGAAAATTCCAGATAATGAAGATAATAAAAAAAAATAATTGAATCATTAAAAAATTCCAGGTGCAGCGTCTGTCGCAAGGGCATGGAGCGGTTACGTGGATTCATTATCAGGAGGGGCGATAAGTAATTTTACGTATCGATTGATTGGAGATAGTATGAAGGGTAATCCATTGGGTCATGTACCAGATCCACTGGCGGCATTTTTATGCATTATTTATTCTCTACTTTTGGGAGTTGGGGTGAAATGTTCAGCAACTGTCAATTCATTTTTGACTCTCATTAATCTTGCTGTCATGGGACTGGTGATTGGTCTTGGTATTTATCATGCAGACTTAAGCAATTGGAGTTCGGAAAATCATGGTTTTTTGCCCTACGGTTTTCACGGCGTTCTTGCCGGTAAATATTTCTTTTTAACTTCTGAAAAAAGAATTAAATTTCTAACAAATTTCCTTTTTTGGGAAAAATTAATTTTTCTTCCTAATTATCAGGTGCTGCAACGTGTTTCTATGCATTCGTTGGATTTGATTCAATTGCAACGTCCGGCGAGGAAGTTCGAGATCCATGTCGTAGTATACCAATAGCAACTGCCATTTCAATGGGAATTGTAACCATTGGCTATGTTTTGGTCAGTGGAGCTCTAACACTAACGGTTCCGTATTGGGAAATAAATCCGACGGCAGCATTACCGGAAGCTTTTGCTTCAAAGGGGATTTTTTGGGCGAAATATGTTATCAGGTGGGAAATTAATCTTTCAATCGTAAATATTCCGAACAAAAATAGAAACTAATCTTTCTCTACTTTGCCTTTTTATTCAGTCATTCACAGACTTCACACTCGATAATTAATTTTAAAAAAAGTCGCAAAAAGTAGCATTCAAACTAAAAAAAAAGTAGTAAAAAAGTAGCTATCGAAAAATTAAACTAGACGACCAAAAAAACTCGTTTTAGACACTTCACAAAACTGACTAAAATTCCATTCTATATTTTATTTTTCTGACTTTTTCCTAATTTTCATTAAAAATATTTACTTCTTTCTTATTCTGCTAATAAATTGAATTCCTGCAACGAATTTTATTATTCACGAAAGAATTTCAATATATTTATAAAAATAATTTAATTCTTGAGAAGAATTTTATTAAATTTTTTAAATAATTAATTTTCTTCGTCTAATTTTATGCAAATTCTAATTTAAATAATTGAATTCCTGAGAAATTTTTATTATTCATGAAAAGAATTGAATTCTTACGAAGATTCTTACAAAAAAATTTTTTTAAATAATTGAATTCTGTTTTGAAATTTTATGAAAATAGTAGATCTAATAGTAGAAGTTTTTAAAAATAATTAAATTTTACACAGAATTCCATTTAAATTTTTGACAATAATATTGAATGTCTGTGTGGTCTTTTATTAAATTTTTTTGAAAATAATTGAATTCCTAAGAAGCATTTTATTATTTATTATTTATCGACATAATTGAATTCTTTCAAAGAATTATTTATGTAAATAATTGAATTTTGGGAAGAATTCTATTAAAATCTAAAAGAATAATTGAATTATTTCAAAAAAATTTAATAAAAATTGTATTTAAAATAACTGATTTCTTTCGAACAATTTTATTAAAATATTTGAAAATAATTGAATTTCTATATAAAAAATTCCAATATTTTTGTAAATAATTGAATTCTTCAAAAGAATTTTAAGAAATCATATTTTTAAATCATTTATTTTTTCAAAGAATTTTAATAAAATTATCAAGAATAATTACATTTTTCGAGAAATTCAATTAAAATTGTATTAAAAATAATTGAAATCCTGCGACGAATTTTATTATTTATGAAAATAATTGATTAGTTGCTAAGAATTTTATTAAAATTTTCGAAAATAATTAAATTCCTAAGAAGAATTTTATTATTTATGAAAATAATTGAATTATCGACAAAAATTTTATTAAAACGTTTAAAGTTTAAAAAGAATTGAATTTCTGTGCAAAATTTTGTTATTTTTGTAAATAATTGAATTATTTAAAAGAATTTTAAGAAATCATATTTTTAAATCATTTATTTTTTCAAAGAATTTTAATAAAATTATAAAGAATAATTGCATTTTTCGAGAAATTCAATTAAAATTGTATTCAAAATAATTGAAATCCTGCGACGAATTTTATTATTTATGAAAATAATTGATTAGTTGCTAAGAATTTTATTAAAATTTTCGAAAATAATTGAATTCCTAAGAAGAATTTTATTATTTATGAAAATAATTGAATTATCGACAAAAATTTTATTAAAACGTTTAAAGTTTAAAAAGAATTGAATTTCTGTGCAAAATGTTGTTATTTTTGAAAATAATTGAATTCTTCTTAAGAATTTTATAAATATTGTTTTAACCATCGGAGAATACACCTCTTTTTTAGATCAGTTTTCAATGCTCAACCAATTGTGAACTGTTCATCTGATCAACCTAAGCATTTTTTTAAAATATAGTTCAAAATCAGTAAAATAAACCAAGTTGAAGTCCACAACGTTGACCAACGAAAAAAAATTGTTCACTTAATAAATTAATTAAAAATAACGCAGCAATATTAACACAAAAATATTTAGAAAAGAAAGACTAATGTTTATATTTTGATAATAATTATTTTACAATTAAATATTAAAATAAAAATAATACTTGAATGCATTAAATAAATTTTTTTCATTGATATAACGTTGTGGACTTCAACTTCGTTAAAATAATTATGTATACTTCAAAATCCTTATAAAAAATATTAAACAATAGATAAGAAGCTTTTCGTAAAAAATTTCGAGTCAGAATGACCCCATGTGTTCTCCAAAGGTTAAATAATTAATTTTTTCGAAATATTAAAAATATTATGAAAATTTTATTTTAAATAATTGAACTCTTGTGGAAAATTTTATTTGTGAAAATAATTGAATTTTTCTATTAATTAATTAAAAATAGTATTAAAAATAATTGAAATTCTTCGATGAGTTTTATTATTTATGAAAATAATTGAATTATTGTGAAGAATTGTATAAAAATTTTGTTAAATAATTGATTTTTCGACATTTTTTTGAAAATGCTATTCTAAATTAATTGAATTCCCGTGGTAATTTTATTATTTATGAAAATAATTGAATTTTATCAATTTTTTTAAAATAAAAATTGAATTCCTTTGCGAAAATTTATGAAAATACTAGATATTGAAAATAATTTAATTTCGAATATTTTTTGAAAATAATTGAATCTTTTTAAAGAAATTTGATGGAAATTCTCAGAAAAAAAAGAAATAGTAGATTTAGGGGCTGAAGTCTAAAAAAAATACCCAAATAGTATCATAACGTAGAAAAAGTAGTAAATAGTAGATTTTAGTAGATGAGTGCGAAGCCTGCATTCAATTTATCCTTTTAGTCTTTTTCTTAATTTTCTTTTTCGAAGGGAAAAAATATTAAAATACAGACCTCGGATCGACTATAAGGTAAAAAAATTCGTTTTAATGGGTTTAAAGGACGAAAAAATCATTTACTTTATTCGAGTGTATTTTCGAAGAATTTCAATTAAAATAAAGAGTCACACTATCCGAGGCCTAAAAATAAAATAAAATTTCCTAGAGACAAAAAATAACTCGCAAAAAATAAAAAAAAGAAATGAAAAGTTAAAGATTTGATATTCCTATTACGTCTGTTTATTACAGTGTGGGTGCTCTGTGTGGAATGACGACAACACTATTTGGATCACTTTTCTCACTACCTCGAACTCTATATTCAATGGCGAGTGATGGTCTACTTTTTGGCTTTTTAGGACGAGTGAATTCCCGCACTCAGGTGCCTGTTGTAAATTTGGCAATCAGTGGCGTAATCAGTGCCCTACTTGCTCTGTTCTTTGACCTACAACATTTAGTCGAATTTATGTCAATTGGTACCTTTTTGGCCTACACAATTGTCTCTGCCAGTATTATAGTTCTAAGATATCGACCAGAGAAAGTCTTATCACCAATTTCTACAACTAGCACATCAAGTACCCTCACGTCACCGCCTACGGAAGGTGCTGATTCCAGCAGTGATGGTCGTAGCATGACTTCTGCCGAATCGGAGGTATAAGATTTTAAATAATTTACATTTTCATTTTCGCAAAATTAATCATCAAAGTTGCCACAAATATTTAATGATTTCCATAGACAGAATTTTCTACTTTTTACCTAAACTTACAGAATATCCCGCTTTAGTCTAAAAAAGATTATCATACACAATACAGTGCTAATAATAATAATAATAATAATAATAATAATACAGATAGTCAAGTTAATATCTTTAGCTGTAAACTTAATTAAAACTTACACTGTCTATAAAAAATTGGGCAAATTCTACAAAGAATTTTTTATTTTACAAAATGCATTAATTAACATTTTCCCCCTCTAAGATACTAAAATTTATTCTTTAAATCTGAACTGGTAGTTTTCCACTAATAAAATTGTGCGGATTCATTTATCAGTTGAATTAGTAATAGTCGTGACTAATTTTAAGTATAGTTTTCTACTAATTGCTAATTCATTATTAAATCGTATTTTCTACTATTTCCGTGGAGATTCCATGAAAATTCTGCAAGTTTTTTTCATAAACACGGAGAAACTAAGAACTTTTTTAAAATTTGCTTCCGATCAAATCTAATATCAAATTAGTTCTTTTTTCATTAATTTGGAGCTTTTTCCGAAACATGGAAGTACTCAGAACTTTTTTAGAATTTAATTTCGATTCAGAAAAAATTTGTGACTTGAAAGACGACGCTTGTTTTAATAATTTTAATTCAAAATTTGGAAAATAATTGAATTAAACAAAGAATTTTTTCAATTTTTTAATTAAATTTTTGCAAAGAATTTTATTAAAATTTTTGAAAATAATTGAATTGTGGAGAACAATTTAATTATTTATAAAAATAATTGAAATTTGGAGGAGACTTTAAAAAAAAATTTTAAACATAATTGAATTTCTGCAAAGAATTATATTACTTTTGAAAATAATTGAATTGATTTTTAGAATTTTATGAAAATTTATGAAAATAATTGAATTCTTGTGAAGAATTTTTTTTTAAACTAATATTCAAAAAAATTTAGTAAATCTGAAGAATTTTGCTATTTATGGAAATAATTGAATTCTTGAGAAGAATTTTTTTAGTTTCTAAAAATAATTGAATTCTTTCGACGGTTTTTGAATATAATTTTTAAAAATTCTGCTATGAGTTTTACTATTTATGAAAATAATTGAATATATTGCGAAGAAATTTAAATTATTTTTAATATAATGTAAAGAAATTTCAATTATTTATTTATAAAAATTCAATTCAATTATTTATTAATTATTAAATTAAAATACTTTAAAAATTCAATTTGTTGAATAGTTTTTTAAACGTAATTTTACGTACAATTTAAATAACTAAACTAGCCAGTAATGTGATAATTTTCTCCAAAAATTATTCTAGTTTTTAAATTCAATCTAAGAAATTTTAAAAATTCTCATGATTATTTTCAGAGGTAAATTATTTGTTTCCTAGTGATAATTTAAACATCTGTTACCTATTCAAAAACTGATGAAATTTTTAACAAATAACATATTATCTTTTTAAGTTAAGTTCAAGAACATTAAAATATTTCAATTATTTTAAGTAACAATGAAAATTTAAAAATTTTTGTAATCTAAACATAAATACAATTCTTTTATTTTAGGAAAATTTTTTGATATTGTATTTATTCCTTTAATTTACTTACTTAATGAATTGATAATAAAATAGATTTAATGATGATAATTTAAAAAAATTGTCAAAATAAGAAAAATATCAATACAAACTTCATTAAAGAATTAAACAATATTTACCAGAAAAATAAATTTAAAAAATGTTTAAGAATAAAAAATTGGAGTATGGCTTATAAATTTGGATTTACTGTTTATTTTTAAATTTTATTGTGAAAATACGTCATTTGTCTTAAAAAGTTAGCTACTTATTAGTGTCGTATCAAGCAAAAGGACAAAAAATAAAAAATTTGCATTTTTTTTATTTTTTAATCAAATCTGGCTAATATTTTAAGTCGAACTAATACCTACAAGAAACTAAATAATTCAAAATAAATTATATATTGTCTAAAATTCAATTATTATTGTCGAAAATAGAAAAAAATTCAAGGTATTTTTTTAAATTACTTTTTCCGGAATTTTTGATAAAATTCCCTGGCTTCCCTGACCTGTGGTAACTCTGATAACAAAAATTTTTTAAGAAAAATAGAACATTTCAAAATTTTTAAAGACTTAAAGTTGGTTAAAAAAATCATTGGCGGCATTTCAACATAAACAGTTATAAAATATGCTTTGTGATAAAAAGAAAATTACGCGCAAAGTATGCAGCGATTTTCAAAATTTTTTTTGTAACTTTAACTATTGTTACGAACAGAAAAAAAATAGAATCAATATAATGACAAAATCTACTTGCCATTCGTTGTTTACCTCGATGAAAGCATCACTTTTTTGGGGAAGTTCAAATTTTTCTTCCATTTCTCCAATATCTGAATGATCTGAATTAGTCTGAAACATTAGAAAAGAATACGATTATGAATTACAAAAATTAAGAAAGAAAACAATTTTTTTTTACTTTCATTATAATTTTTATCTTTATCATTATTATTTTTACTTTACAGTGAAATTTTCAAAAAATATCATTTTAAATGTATAGCTAAATTTAAACTAAAATTATCTAAATCAGGGTTGCCACAAAAATTTGATTTTGTTCAACTCATTTATGGAAGCCGCCTGATCAATTTTACTTTCGCTGACTTTCTCCTGAATTCCCTGATTTTCCTGACCTATAGCAACCCTATAAATAAAATTATAATTTTTAAATTTAATATTAAAATGAAAGCTAATAAATTAATAAATATCTTTCTCATTGAATTAGCAGTTATTAAATTATTGCGAAGACACTGGAAAGTTGAAATTCCGATATGCATGGTTGGCAAAATTCATTGGCTATTGTGATCCCGGAACTGTTGTATCAATGTCTATAACATTTTATGCAATTGGATGCATAGCTCTATGCACTTTGCTAATTCTCATAGTTCAAAGTTTATCATGGCCAACGTGGTCGGACTACATAATGATCGTTAACTTAATCCTCTTTCTTTCCGGATGTAAGTTTTTACTTTATGGATTTTTTATAAACACATTTTATAAGAATATATTTTCTAAAAAAAAAATTAAGCTGAAACAGGTACCCACTTAGTTTTGTTATTTTGTAAATTAAATTTTAAAGTTAACTATTTTTTATAAAGCTGCAACTTGAACCTAGTTGTCAGCACCTATTTAATTTTTCAAAATTTTATGATGGCTTTGAGCAAAAATAAATATCAAAATTTGAAAAATTAAGTGCGTGCTGATAACTTGGTGCAAGTTACAGCTTCATAAAAAATATTTAATGTTAAAATTTAATTTCCAAAATTAAGTGGGTGCTAGTTTCAGCTTCATATAAAAATATATCTAATTTTAAATGAGTATTTCAACTGAAATTATGCATTAATTTACAGGTCTGTTTTTGATACACGCACATAAGCAAACACCCAGTACAGGAAGCTTCCGTGTACCTTTGGTACCACTTGTGCCAGCGATGAGTATGTTCTTTAATATTGGCCTCATGTTTCATTTATCACTTTTAACGTGGTTACGGTTTCTCATCTGGATGCTAGTAGGCAAGTTGTATTTTATATTTTAATTTTCATTTAATTATTTACCAAATAAAGTTTTTTCCATATACGGCTTTTCTAAGGATGTCAGCTTGAGACACAAAGCGTATCAAAATTGTTGCCTTACAATGTTTTCAAACTTCGCACTCGATAATTAATTTTAAAAAAGTAGTAAAAAGTAGCTTTCAAACTAAAAAAATTAATAAAAAAGTAGCTATCGAAAAATTAAACTAGACGACCAAAAAATCTTGTTTTAGACACTTCACAAAACCGACAAACATTCCATTCTATATTTTATTTTCCAGACTTTTTCCTAACTTTCATTAAAAATGTTTATTTAATTCTTATCCTGATAATAAATTGAATTCCTGCAACTGATTTTATTATTTAGGAAAGAATTTAAATATTTAAAAAATAATTTAATTCTTGCAAAGAATTTTATAAAAATTTTTGAATAATTGATTTCCTTCGAATAATTTTATACAAATTCTAATTTAAATAATTGAATTCCTGAGAAATTTTTATTATTCAGGAAAATAATTGAATTCTTATGCAGATTTAAAAAAAAAATTAAATAATAGAATTCTGTTTGGAAATTTTATGAAAATAGTAGATATTAAAGATCATTTAATTGCGAAATTTTTTTTTTAAATAATTAAATTTTACAAAGAATTCTATTAAAATTGTTGACAATAGTTGAATGTCTGTGTGGCATTTTATTATTTATGATTATAATTGAATTCTTGAGAATGATTTTATTAAAATTTTTCTTAATAATTGAATTTCCAAGAAGAAATTTATTACTTTTAAAAATAATTGAATTCTCGTAATGAATGTTGTTTTTTATGAAAATATTTGAATTTTGTAAAGAATTTTATTAAAATGCCTCAAAATAAATGAATTTTCGGGAATAATTTTGTTATTTACGACATAATTAAATTTTTTCGAAAAATTATTTATGTAAATAATTGAATTCTTGGGAAGAATTCTATTAAAATCTAAAAGAATAATAATTGAATTATTTAAAAAAAATGTAATTAAAATTGTATTTAAAATAATTGATTTCTTTCGAAAAATTTTATTAAACTATTCAAAAATAATTGAATTCCTGTGAAAAATTCTAATATTTTTGTAAATAATTGAATTCTTCCAAAGAATTTAAAAAAAAAACATTTTTTTAAATAATTGATTTTTTCGAGGAATTGAAATTAAATTTTTAAGAATAATTGCATTTTTTGAGCAATTCCTCTAAAATTGTAGTAAAAATAATTGAAATCCTGTGATGAATTTTATTATTTATAAAAATAATTGAATAGTTGCAAAGAATTTTATTAAAATTTTCAAAATAATTGAATTCCTGAGAAGAATTTCATTATTTATGAAAATAACTGAATTATTGCAAAAAATGTTATTAAAATGTTTAAAAAGAATTGAATTTCTGTGAAAAATTTTGTTATTTTTGATAATAATTGAATTTTTTATAAACATTGTTTTAAATCATTAATTTCTTCGAAATACAGTCAACTCTATCAATAGTGCCGCAAAATTGCACAGCGTTTACGACTTTTCTTGGAACTGTAGTACCCCCACTGTTTGTATATTTCTCTCTTAGGAAAAACTCGAAATTCAGAAGCCGTGCTAGAGTCGCTAAAGTGGGGGTAGAGCTCGAGCGAGAAAGAGGAGAAGTGGCACTATTGATAGCGGCACTATTGGTAGAGTTGGCTGTATAATAAATAATTATGAAAATTTTTTTGTAAATAATTGAATGTTTAAAGAAGAATTCTTAGAATTTTATCAAAAATTTTTTTAAAAAATTAAATTTCCATGAAAAATATTATTAATGAAAGTAATTGAATTATTGTGAAAAAATTTTGTTAAATAATTGATTTTCTCGAAATCGTATTGAAAATGTTATTCTAAGTTAATTGAATTCCTTTGGGAATTTTATTATTTATGAAAATAATTGAATTTTGGATGAATTTTATCAATTTTTTTTAATAATTGAATTCTTTTGAGAAATTTTATGAAAATACTAGATATTGAAAATAACTGAATTTCGAATATTTTTTGAAAATAATTGAATCGTTTTAAAGAATTTGATTATAATTTTTGAGAATAGTTTTTTGATTTCTAGTATTAGCGAAATTAAAGTAGTGGAAATTCTAAAAAAAACAGAAATAGGGTAACTGTACCAATTGTCGAGGGTTTTAGGCAACATGTGACTTTGACATTTTTTTTCTCGGAAGTAAATGCACTTTAAAATTTGATTTTTGTATATTTGGACGAAGGATCTAATAATGTTTAATATTCATATTTATTTTTTTAATATAAACTAAATTGTTAAGCAAAAAATATATTTAAAAGTCAATCGAGCAAAAGCACCATTTGTCGATGGTCTTGTGCTAATTTCTCGAGGGTCTGTTCCAATTGTCGAGGGTATGACATTTTTAAACATATAACCCAATATAACCTAACAATTAACCTGTACAGATATTAGAAAATCGAGTAGATATTTATTTTTTCGATAAAAATATTATAGAACATTACCAGAAAACAAATATATTTATTTAACTATAATTGAATAATTTATAATATCGATATAAAACATTTTTATAGTAGATGATACAGGACAGAAAATTATTTAACTGTTTTTTAAACTTTTATAAATATAAGTTAATTAAATTTAATCAATTTTGTTAATCAGACATTAATTGAAAAAATAAATTAATTTAAGTCACATTAAATTTGTAAGCGAATAAAATAAACTTTTATTACGAACTGTAAATATAATGGTTAATTATAATTAAACTATAGTACAAAATTTTTTAGTTTTAAATAATGCATTTTTTTTATTAATTTTTTTTCCGTCTTCCTCGTTTTTTTGGTTGATTATTTTCTGTTGGTTGTAAATTTTTGGAGCATTTTTTTTCTTTTTCTGTGTACCTATAAATGTTTGGCATTTATGTTTGACGTTTAGTAAATAAACACTTAACCATCGATAAATGGTGCATCAGCGAAAAAAGTGACTACACCAATTTTCGAGTCATTACCTCGAAAAATGGAACTGTCAAAAAAAAGGAACCAAATACCGATGATTTGCTTTTAAAAAATATTAAATATTTGTTTTTAACAAAAAAACATGCATACAAAATTAATTTAGTTCGTGTACAAAATTATAATAATAATTTTGTACACAAAAAGTCATTATAAATACGTTTAATTTGCATTTCTAAAAATCTGTTTTAATCAACCTGAAGTATTAAGAAAATGGAGATTCGTGTAAATTTCACAGCAGTGAATTATAATATTAATTAAATAATTATTTTAGTAGAATCGCTACGAAATTTGTATATATAAATATACAGTTGAAAATACAAAGATTATTTAGAAATTTTTTTTGTTCTTAAATATTATATATTATACTATTTATCTAAAAAAGAAAATTATTATCCTCGACAATTGGAGCACCCTCGGCAATTGGTGCAGTTACCCTCCCGAGTCGAAATTTAGACCCTACTTAGCCTCTGAAAATGTAGGGCTTATTCAGGTTTAGCAGTCGTAAAGTAGGGTCTGATTTCAATACAATTTTTAAAAACTAGACCCTCCTTTGACTCCCAAAATAGGCTGAAATTTGCCAATCTTCCATTTGGAGAAGCAAAGGAGGGTCTACTTCTAAGAAACCTATACCGTACTTTTAAACCTCGTAGACCCTACTTTCATACTCCTAGACCCTACAATTAGAAAAAGAAAAATTTGAAGATTTGCTCAGATTCAATTGAAGCACTAGGGATGAGTAAAAGTGGAATTTTATGTGTTTTATAGCGTCTATATACACGAAGTGTATATAGACGCTATAAAACACATCAGTATTTATGAATTTGGAGTACTTTTTGCATTTGCAGTGTTTCAAGTAATGCATTAAAAAATAATTCAAAATTTTCTTTTAGAATGTAGGGTCTAGGAGTATGAAAGTAGGGTCTACGAGGTTTAAAAGTACGGTATAGGTTTCTTAGAAGTAGACCCTCCTTTGCTTCTCCAAATGGAAGATTGGCAAATTTCCGCCTATTTTGGGAGTCAAAGTAGGGTCTAATTGTATTAGAATTAGACCCTACTTTACTACTCCTAACACTCAATAGACCCTGAAAATTCAGGGTGAAAGTAGGGCTTAAATTTCGACTCGGGCTAGTAGCTTTTAGTGGCTGAAATCTAAAACAATACCCAAATAGTAGCATAACGTAGAAAATTAGTTAATAGTAGGTTTTAGTAAATGAGTGCGAAGCCTGAACGTATCAAAATTGTTAAAATGCAACGTTTTGATGCTATATAATGCTTTGAGATTTGAGAAACTTAGAAAAATTGTGTAATTATACTTATAGAGAAGTATATTTATTTTTTGTTTTAATTATTTAATATTAAATAATGAATAATATTTAATGGAAAATGCTTTCTTTTCAGGAATGTTGATATATTTCTTCTACGGAATTCATTATAGTAAAGAAGCTGGTGGTCCAAATTCATATTCAATTTTAATGGCAAGTTCGGAAGCTGGAAGAGGAGCAAAATGGGGCTCCACCTTACGTGTAGGTCAAAAAAGTGATAAAATGCCTATTTTAGATAACGACGATTTATCCCACTAACAGTTTCAAAAAAGCAGAAAAAGAAAGATAAATTTTCAATTGAATTTCTAATGTCATAAATTGTGTGACCTAACAAAAATATCCAAAAAGAGAGATAATAAGTAGAATTTACAAATATTCAAAAGTATCCTTGAGTATATCAGAAATATATAAATATTCCCCCTAATCTTTCAAATTTAAAAATCACATTTAAATTAAATTCAATAATTACATTTCAAATAAGATTCAAATTAATAATTTTGAAAAAAAAGATTAACATTAATTTTTTAATAAACGAGGGACAAGGAATTTTTTCATTTTTAAGAATTCGATGTTAATGTTGAGCGCACAACCATCAATTTATTTAAATTGAAACACAATTGTTTGAATTTTGATAATTACTAATATATTTTGATAATTATTTTAATATAATTCAGAATTTTATATAATATTAATAAATTAATAATATAATAATTGATTGATATGACTCAATATATCGATTTCAACAAGACTGGTTCCTTATCAAAACTATTAAATTTAATTTGAAAAAAATAAATATTTTATAATAAAAAAAGAATGAAAATTTGCCATCATTATTTTATGAATGGATTTCATAAATTTTAATAGAAATTATAAATTATATAAAAAAGAATATACTGTGAAAAGAAAATAGAAAGTATAAATTTAAAGAATAAAATATCTATCTATATGTGTGCAATATTACAAAATACAGAACAATTTAAAATAACGTTTGTTAATAATAATTATTTTCAATTACAATTCCAAAACTAATTAATTAATTGTTGAATTAATATTCAATATTAATATTGTATATGAATATTTCTTTGCATAATCTAAATAGTTTACGTTACAATTTATGTAAAATATCACACAAATACCTCTGCCAATAATCAGTATTCAAATAATATTTTAATTTCATTCAATAAGTGTAAGAAAATAAAAATTTCAATATATCACCCTCTGTTAAAATCTATAGGGTCCAAATTATTCCATCGGCTATATTAAAAATAATTAAAAAAAAGAGAAAAACGAAAAATTACGTGACGAAAAGTAATTTGTTACAGGCATTGAAAATTATATTAAATAATTGATGGTGCCTTTGAAGAGAATATTTTAGAATATTTGTATATATTGTTATCAAATTTCTTTTCTCATCAACAATTACAATGATTTTATATATTTTATTTTCAGGATTTAAATTATTATAGTTCATTACATAAAATAAATTAAAAGAAAAAAATATATTTAGAAAATTATACATCAAAATTTCTTAGCCAAAGAATTTATTATAATAGGTAATTATAAATTATTATTTTTATAATAAACAATTGATTCATTAAAAATTCCAAATAATTGTCCAATTATTACAAATTATAATTATATATCCGAAAAATCATTTCATTTTAGCGAAACATTATTTTTATTTCGATAAACGAATTTTTATAATCGCACAGCACAAATATTAAATAATTATCATTTTATGTTTTAAAAAGCACAATTAATTTTAGCTTTATATTATAATTTCATATGTATAAAAGGAAAAACGAAATGAAATATATGAAAGTAAATCAAAATTTCCTAACAAGCACAATAAAAGATAAATATGTATTGTAAAAAAATTGGCGCATTCAATATGAGAAAATTCTCTCATTTTTAAACGGATTATTTAAATAAGAAAAATTATTGTATATAAAAATTTGATGTTTATTGATAAAAATAAAATAATATTCATATTTGTAATGTTTTTCTTTCTAGAATATTAATTTCTTCTAAAAAAAAAGAAATTGATAGAAAAGTCTGTAAAAATATAGTATAATCGGAATATATTAAAAATATTGTTAATATATTAATAAATATATTATTAAATATATTAAATATTAAATATATGATTAAAAAAAATAATTAAAATATTAACAAAAAAATAAAACTATAGACGCATAATAATTTATATAGAGCTGCCTTTTTGAAAAATAATTCCAATATAATTTTGTCGAAATTTTTGTCAATTATTTATAATACTTTCGACATTATTTTTCAAGCGTGATATTGTATTTATATAATCGTTCAATATAATTATTTTTGTTGAATGTATATTAAAATATTTATTTCACAAGCGCATTAAAATAATAAGTTTTATGTCAAAAATATATATTTAAAAAACATGTACAGAATCAACAATTATATACGTTTAAATAAAAAAAATATTGCGAAGTTAATGGTATCGTTTTATTTTTAAAATTGTTTACTTTCGCCTTTAATTTTTTTTTTAAATTACATTCAATTTTAATTGAGAAGAGAACCATTTCTATGTAATTAATTATTTATAATACATGTTTTCGTTTAGTTACATTTTTAAAGGCTAATAATAATCGATAATAATATTATAATAAATTATCTTGAAGTTCTGTACTTTCAAATAAATATACGAAATTTATTTATTTTTCTTCAAATTAAATTTTTATTATACAACAATTTTGCGTCACTGTCGAAAAAATTAATTATAAAGTTTCTAAATGTAAAATTTAAATTTCTTATTTTTATTGCAATCAGTAATTTCTGAAAATATGTTTAACAACAAATATTTTATTTTCTTAAGATTTTAAATGTTCAAATGAAAAAAAAAATGTTTTCTCTTTAAATATTTAAAATACATAATTTACTGAATGAAATGGAAAATAATAAATTAAATAAAATTAAACAGTGTTACTTAGAGTAAAAGTTGAATAATGAACGAAGATATTTTTATAACTTCTTTTATTTTGAATTTTACTTACAAATTTTATTTTTTGTTTTTTATAATTTTGCTTAATTTTGTATTTTATAATTAAAAAATAACTCTTAACTAATTAAATAATTAATTAGAATATTTGACGATTTCAGTCCAGTGATTTTTAAAAATATTGGAGCATAAAAAAATATTTCATTCATTTGAACGTTCAAAATTTTAGAAAAATAAATTTTTAGTTAAAATTTTATAATACTTTAAATTTCTTATTTTTATATATTTTTTAAAAATAGTTTAAATTATATATTATTTATGGGTATTTATTACACATTTTTTCTAGATCTAACAATGAATAATAAATTATTATAACTTTAATAATTCTAATATTAGCATCAATATAAATTAATAATAATATTAATTATAATTAATAATAAATAATAAATTTATAGATGGATTTAAAATAGAATTTAATCGTTCAATTTAAAAAGAAATTATAAATTTTTTGTTATGTTTTATACAAATTTGCAGAATCGAACTATAGTTCGATTAAAGCTATAAAAAATTGACGTCAGAAAGATGAATAAAAATTTCGCTTGTAAAATCTTAACTGGAAAAACAATTATAAAATTGAATGAAAATTTATTACAAGTTCAATCATTTTTAGAATTTGTTTTTACATTTTGTGATAACAAAAAATTTTCAAATGCGTATAAAAGGAGATGAAATCACTATAAACTTTTTCTGTTTTCAATTTAAATTAGAATAAAAAAACCTATTTTTTCAATTAAAGAAATAATAATAAATAAGAATAAAATAAAAGCCATAGAAATAAAAATAAAAATAAAATAAAAACTATAAATAGAAATACAAATAATAACAACAACAAAATGAAAATTGAAACAAGTTACATTTTTATAAATTTAATCAACATGTTACTAAAAATTTGTGTTATCATGACTATAGCAAATATAATATTAGCTCGAAATATTGACACTCAAGTTGCAAACGCAACTGTATTATTAAAAAAGGATAATTCTACAAATACAGAAGAAAAGGAAGTTTCGTCTAATGTGAGTATATATACTTTATGCCATTAATTTTAATTTCCCCTTTAAAAAAAAAATTCTATATTCTAAAAAGCACTTGATACATTTTTGACAAATGATTCAAACAAAAAATGAAATTAAAAAAATTTTTTCAACAAAAATGTATTTTTATACGCATAAGAAACGATATTTTAAATTTTAAGATTCAATCGCTCAGCAAATTGAAACATGGCTTCAATCAGGATGGAACATTTAAGTTATTTGTATGTATCGAGTAAAGAAAATACGAAATAAATACAGAAATTATTAAGTAATAAATTAAATTTTCAAAATTCTAAATTTTTTAATAAATTTTCAGATAGAAAGAAATTTTGATGGATTGAAAGCTGCCCTTCTTGTGGGACCAGATTCTATTATGAAAAATGAACATCCAGTAGAATTACGTCACTTAAAAAACAATAGTTTTGAAAATTCGACAAGATTCCAAAGATCAAGTGCTGTGGATCAGGTCAAAATATTAAACTAAATTCATAAAATAATTTTCATAATTTTATAAATTTTTACAGAGATTGATTTAAAATTCAAATAAAGTTTTTAATAAAAAAATAATATTATTAAATAAATTTTAATTAGGTATTATTAACTCTTGAATTAAAATTATTAAATTTAGTTAATAAATTATTTGAGATTGTATATGGAAAATAATAATAAATAAATAAATAAATAATTCTATTAAAAAAAATAAAAGACTAATTTATTTAGAAAAAGAAATTTAACGAATTAATTAAGGTCATTTCTTTGTTTTATTTATAAGGAAAAGTTTATTTAAAAAAAGGAAAAACTTAATTTTTTAAATTTATTATTTAACGTAAATTATAAATAAGTTCATCAATTAGTTTATTTATTTAAAGAAAATTAGTGAAATTTATTTTTTTATTTAATTTATTAAAAGAAATTCTGAAAGCTTATTTTTTACTTTATTTATTAAAATAAATTATTGAAGTTTATTTTTTACTTTATTGTCAAAGAAAATTATTGAAGTTTTTTTCTTTATTTTATTTATTTAAAAAAAATTAGTGAAGTCTATTTTTTACTTTATTTATTAAAATAAATTATTGAAGGTTCTTTCTTTATATTATTTATTACACGAAATTATTGAAGTTTATTTATTTTATGCATTAAATTAAATTATTGAAGTTTATTAATTAAAGGAAATTATTTAACTTTATTTCTCTATTTTCCTTATAAAAGTAAATTATTGAAGTTCAAAAATGAGCGCGAATTTCGCGCACATATTTCATTGCGCATGTGTGACAGTATTTAACATAACCTAGAAAGTGCACGTGTTTACAGTTGTTGACGTGCTATGTCTTTCTCTTAATTCTTTATTATTACTTTCCTTCTTATAAAATACACAATTAATTACAAAAATGGGCAAAAAGTCAAAAATTGGAAAGCAGCGAAGGGATAAGTATTATCAGTTAGCCAAAGAAACTGGTAAGTAGAGCATAAATTGTTTTAAAAGTAAAGACTCCACATTTTCATTTCTATAATTATTTTACTTTACACAAATTTTTTCATGAATAAGAAATAAATAACTAATTTGATAATAATAAATTACTATGTTAATGACTAACATGAATTGTTTCTAAATTATTTTCTAGTCTATTTCTTAAATTTACACAGTTTACATTATGTTTATTGTGCAGTTCTAAATTTGAGGTTAGGTTTCAAATAAAAATTTAATTTTTACGATTTCTAGACAAATTTAACGACAAACATCTTAGTTATCAATTAATTAATAATGCAAAACGTAATTAACTATTATATTAAGATATTTTGATTGGATAAAATTAATGTAATAAATAAACCCAAATTTTCTACTCTATATTACAGTGTAAAAATAATTTTCTGTAGATTTACATTTTTTATGGAATGTTAGAGAAACTTGTAAACTAACGTCTTTAAAAGTAGCGAATTTAAAATCCCTTTTGTAAAATTAATACTTTTAATGTGTCAATTTTACAATTTACTACTCTGAAAGTAGGTAATATTTTTGTCTTTATTATCTACTTTCGGAGTAGTAAATTTACAGAAAATTGTAAAATTGACATATTAAAAATATTAATTTTGCAAAAGGGATTTTAAATTCGCTACTTTTAAAGACTTTATTTTACAAGTTTCTATAAAATTCCATAAAAACTGTAAACCAACAGAAAATTTTTATTTACAGTGTACAGTTTCGTGATACGTTAAAAATACTGTATTTTTTCAGGTTACAGATCTCGAGCTGCCTTCAAATTAATACAATTAAATCGTCGATTTGAATTTCTACAAAAATCGAGAGTATGCATCGATTTGTGTGCCGCACCAGGAGGATGGATGCAGGTGGCACAGCAAAATATGCCAGTGTCGTCAATTGTAATTGGTGTCGATTTATTTCCAATAAAACCAGTTCCCGGTTGTATCAGTGTCAAGGAGGACATCACTTCGGAAAAATGTCGAGTTGCACTGACACGGGAATTAAAAACATGGAAAGCAGATGTAGTTTTAAATGACGGTGCACCAAATGTTGGAAAAAATTGGCTTCACGATGCATATCAACAATCAGTCCTGACATTGGCGGCTTTAAAACTTGCCTCACAATTTTTACGACCCGGAGGTTGGTTTGTCACAAAAATCTTTCGATCCAAAGATTATCATCCACTTATGTTTGTACTCAAAGAATTGTTCAAAAAGGTAAGAAATAGTAAAATCGAAAATCGATTACTGTATGTTCTTTTAATTAAAATTGAAATTATTTTTAGGTTCACGCTACAAAACCCCAAGCATCACGTAATGAATCCGCTGAGATTTTCGTTGTCTGTCAACATTTCATTGCACCCGACAAACTTGATCCGAAATTCTTCGATCCAAAACACGTTTTCTCTGAACTCGAGATTGATTCAGCGAATAAATTGAATTTCTTTCATCCTGAGAAGCAAAAGCGACCGAAAGCCGAGGGTTATCCAGAGAATGATTACACATTATATCACAAATTGTCCGTCAAAGACTTTGTCACTAGTGAAAGTGGCGTCGAAGCTTTACAAAATGCGTCAGAAATTGTTCTTGACGATGAGAGGATAGCGAAACACGAGAGAACGACAGCCGAAATCAGAGAATGTTGCAAAGACATTAAAGTTTTGGGAAGAAAGGAATTGCGTCTATTGCTCTCGTGGTGGAAACACATGAAGGAATTGAACAAAGAAAATGCTGACGGCGATAAAGACAAGGAAGAAACTGTAATAGCACCAATAACACAGGAAGAAGAGGAGGATTTGGAAGATGAAAAAATTCGTGAGGAAATTGATAAAATAAAAGAAGACGAACTTCGTGAATTAAAGCGAAAGAAGAAAAAGGCGAGTAAAGAGAGACAGAAATTAAATGAAAAACTCAATTTAAAAATGGTTTTGAAAGGTGACGAGGGACCAGTTTTAGAAGGTGATGATATGTTCACCTTAAAGGAAATAAAAACAATGGATCATTTAAAAACCATAAGCGATCAAACGCCAGATGTTGTCGCCGAAAGTGACGACGATGAAGAGCAAGCGATAATGCCGAAAAAAATGAAATATGACAAAGAAGATGGTCACTTGGACAGTTCCGGTCTTTATTATAAAGACGAAAGTAGTGATCTCGATTCTTCCGAAGCCGAAGAATCCGATAGCGATAAATCCGGATTAGGACTCAGTGACTCAGAAGAAGAAACAAAGACAAGAAAAAATCTTAAAAAGAAGAAGGAGAAACCGATAATCGACTCAGAAAACAATCCCCTGATTACCGACTTAGATCATCGGGATAAAAAATCAAAACGTAATCAAAAAGCCCAATTATGGTTTGAAAAGGACATTTTCAAGAATTTAGAAGACGAAAAGGACGAGGATTACGAGTTGGACAAAATGGTTGAAGCTTTAGAGGAAAAGGGTGGAGCTATTATAAAAAAGGAGAATACTAAGAAAAATTTGAAGAGTACAAAAAGAAAGGAAAGTGAGGATGAAAATTCCGATTACGATATGGAGGAAATGATGTCACCAACGAAGAAAGTGAAAAAAGTTGGTGGAAAAGATGGTTATGAGGTTGTTGCTAAAGAAAGTAAGGAGAAAATAAAAAAACGAAAATTGACTGAAGAGGATTTGGCGCTTGGTTCCTTGATGATTGGTAGCAAAAAATCGCGACGTGATTTAATTGATGGTGCATGGAATCGATATATGTTCAATGATGACAATTTGCCAGATTGGTTCCGAGAAGACGAGGAAAAACACATGAAGAAGGAAGCACCCGTTCCAAAGGAGCTTGCCGACGAATATAAAAAGAGAGTTGAGGAGCTCAATGTTCGACCCATCAAAAAAGTTCTCGAAGCCAAAGCAAGAAAGAAGAAGCGAGCAGTTCGAAAATTAGAAAAGGCGAAGAAAAAGGTCGAGGCCATTATGGATAATGTGGACATCAGCGATCGGGAAAAGGCTAAACAAGTCACAGCGTAAGTTTCCTACATCTACTTTTTACAATAATTTCATTAAAAATCGAATATTAATAATTTTCAGGGTTGCCACAGGTCAGGGAAAAGTCAGGGATTTTTATTAAAATTACTGGAAAAAATTAAATTTTTAGAATTAATAAGAAAATTCTGAATTTTTGTGTCTTTTTTTAAAAAACTTTAATTTCAATTTTTTAAATTTTAACGCAATTATTTGAAAGAATTCAATTACCTTAATAAATATTAAACTTCTTTCCAGAAATTCAATTATATTTAAAAATGTTTAAAAAATTCTCGTCAACATTTTAATTATCTTTATAAATAGCAAAATTCAATTATTTTCATAAATAACAATATTTATCACAAGAATTCAATTATTTTCAAAATTAATAAAATTCTTCTCAGAAATTCAATTATTTTCAAAGAGTCAAAAAAAATCGTCAACATTCAAATTACTTATCTTTATAAATGAATAGCAAAATTCTTCGACATAATTCAATTATTTTCAGGAATTTTGATAAAATTCATTGCAAAATTCAATTAATTCAATTAATTCAATGATTTTTCAATATTCTACTATTTTAATAAAGTTTCACAAAAGAATTCAATTATTAAACAACAATTTTGACAATATTTAACACGAACATTCAATTATTTTTCAAGCAAATAAAAATAAAATAATTATTTTCATAAATAATAAAGCTCATTGCAGAATTTTAATTATTTTTAATAAAATTTCAATCAATTTCCTTGAAAACAGTAATTATTCTTAAAAATATTATTAAAATTCGTTGAAAGAATTCAATTATTTAAAAATTTGTTGATAGAATTATGTATGAGAATTCAATTTTAAGAAACATTTAATTATTCACTAAATCATTTATGTTTGTTTTTAAATAATTGAATTCTCATAGAATTTTCTAATAATAATTGATTTATGAATGAAGTTCAGTTAAAGTTTTAGATAATAATTGAATTTTGGAGGAGTTACTAATAATTGCAAGTTTTTAGAAATAATTGAATTTTGTTCAAGTTTGAAAATAAAATCTTTGAAAATTTGAATTTTTCATACTTTCAATTAAAAATTCTATGGAACTAATTTTATTTTCAAAAAGCTTAATTGCAATTTTTTAAAATTATTTCATGTTTTTATTTTCTAATGTATATTTAATTGAAGAATTTCCGAATAATTAAAATTTCACGTATAATAGAATTGTAAACAAATGGATTTAAAAATTCTCAAAGAAGAAGTTTCTCAAAAATTATTAAAACTTGATTTAAAGTAGAATTTTATTTTAAATTTTTAGAAATTGAATTGAATTGAGTCGAAGACTCGGAGTGATCCATTTCTTCATGTTTTATAATAATATTCTTTCAAGTTATTGCGTTTGAAAGTTTTGAAATATTTTTTCCTATAAAAAAATAATAATGATTAAAAAAGAAATCAAGTTATTGATATTTTCGAATTTTGAGTATTTAATCATTTTTAGGGTGAATCAGAATATTCTTTAGGGTCAGGGAAAAAGACAAAATTTTGTCTGGAAATCAGGGAAAAGTCAGGGAGAAAGAAAATTAAATTTTTGTTGCAACCCTGATTTTCTTTTATCAAAACTATTCAAATTCCAGTGAATTTTTATTTATCTGTTCTGGAGTAATTTTCTTTTATTTCATAATAAAATGTGAATTACCCGATTTTCAGACTTTACAAGAAAGCCCAAAAGGAGCCGAAAAAGGAAGTGACATACGTCGTTGCCAAGAAATACATGGCCCAGAAACGAGCTATTAGACCATCTGGAGTGAAAGGTCGTTACAAGGTTGTAGATCCCAGAATGAAAAAGGATTTACGAGCAGCAAAGGCAAAGGAAAAGACGAAAGGTCGTGGAAAGAAAAGTCGTGGTGGCAAACCACTCAGGACAAACGCCAAAGCTCCAAAAGGCAAAAGAACTAAAAACTAAATTTTTCACACATTTCTTTCGATTTTTTTCATTTCAACGAAAAAAAAAAATTTGAAAACGAATTTTAATTTTATAATTAAAACTAAAATATTTAGAATTTCATTAAATTCTAATTTTCTTCTAGATTAATTTCTTCAAAAATTCGACAAGTAAAGAAATATTTAATAGAAATCAAAAATTTCTAAACAAAAATAAAACAAATGAAATGAAAGTATTTTTGGGGAAAAAAAATGTTGTTTTGAGTTTTACTTTGCAATTTTGCAGATAAAAGATTATTGTGTACATATTTATCATATTGTTGTTATGTTAAACTATTTTTCAATTCGACTGAATGCTGAAAAAAAAATTATACACACGATACTTTTGATACTATACATTGAAGTTGTCTTCAATATGGGAATTAATAAATGAATAGTTAGAAATTGATTTTTTATTTTCACTTCTCTAGTTTTTTAAAATGTACTCCAGGAAAGAATTTCGAATATTTATTATTTTAAAAGAGGACAAATTTGAAAAATTTTTTAATAGATAACAGACTTTGCACCAATCTGTTAAAACCTACTGTTTACTATTTTTTATGATTTGTTATTTGAATAATTTTTTTAATTTTCTTCCGCTATAAGATACTTTTGTTTATTAGTTTGTTTTTTTGAGAATTTCTACTACTTTCAACCGATAGTAGTAAAAATATAAAATAGTATTTTTGAAGAATTCTGACTAAAAGTTAAGAAAATAATTGAATTTTAGAAAAATTTGGAATTGAAGATAAGTAGAAATTTTTTAAATATCCTTTTTTAGATTTGTGACACTAAAAGCTATTTTTTTCTTCTTTTTAGAATATAGACTACATTAAATCCGTTAATAAATGAAATAAAAAAATTATTCACAAAAATTTTAATAAAATGCATCGAAACAATTCAACAAATTTTTAGGAAGTGCTCGTCAAGATTTCAATTATTTTTACAATTAATGAAATTCAATTATTTTCAATATCTACTATTCTAATAAAATTATACAAAATAATTCGATTATTTTCATAAATAATAAAATTTTTATAGAAATTCAATTATTTGAAATATAATTGTCATAAAATTTTTTGAAAGGAATTAATTATTTAAAAAAAATGTTATAATATTCCCCCGAAAAAAATCAAAAGTTATTAATAATTTTTGATAAAATTTGTTTATAATAATTCATGTATTTTCAATACAGTAATTGCAATTATTTGCCTCGAAAGAATTTAATTATTTTCAAAATAAAAGTTCAAAAAAATTCAATTAGGAATTTCCAAAAAATATTAATAAAATTCTTTGCAAAAATTCAAATCTTTCAGCAAATAATAATATTTTCCCCATGATTTCTCTTTTTAAAGTACAATTTCCATAAAATTTTTTTAAAGAAATTAATTGTTTAAAAAAATTTATATAAAATTCTCCGAAAGAAATCAAATATTTTTTATAATTTTATTCAAATTTGTTTATAACAATTCATCTATTTTCAATACAATTGCAATTATTTAGCTCAAAAGAATTTAATTACTTTCAAACATTTTAATAGAAAATTCTGCAAAAAAATCCAATTATTTTCTAAAATTTTAATAAATTTTTTAGCAAGAATTAAATTATTTTCACAAATATTAAAATTTTTCTAGGAATCAATTATTTAAAAAAATGTCAATAAAATTCGTTACAACAATTCAATTATTTTCATAAAGGCCAAAAATTCTTCTGAGAATTTCAATTATTTCTAAATACAATTTTAAATGAATTTCTCGAAGAATGCAATTATTCTTGAAAAATGTATTAAAACTCTTTGAAAGAATTCAATTATTTTAAAAAATTTATTAAAAATCTTTGAAAGAATTCAATTTTTGCATTGAAAATTGGATTATTTAAAGTATTAATTTCTGAGGAAAAATAAATAAGTTTTTAAATATCTATTTATTTAACAAAAATTATTCAACTTTTGAATAATTTAACTTAGTAATTATGAAAAAATTAGTCTTTTGAACAATTGTAATTAGATATTTTTTAATATTATTAAATTCCCGTAAATAATAATTTAGAAATATTGAATTAAATTTCCAATTAATTTAAAATGTTGTCAAATTTATAATAGAAATAATTTTAATATGTTAATGGATTTTTTTTTTTTACTTTTAAAATATTACTTTTCAATATAATCATATTTTTTATGAATTCTAACTAAAAATTTGGGAAATAATTGAATTTGAAAAAATTTAGAATTGAAGTTATTAGCAGAATAAGAAATAAAATGAATATTTTTGATAGAAATCAGGAAAAGTCGGGGAAATACTGAATCAAAATTTTGTGAATCAACTAAAACGAGCGTTCTTTTAATTCATCAAATTTAATTTTTTGATAATGATCCTAAAGTTCTGAACGTTCAAATGAACGAAATTTATTTATTTCTTCTTTAATATAAATTTTTATTATTCAATAATTTTTAATTTTGTTTTAAAAAACCAATTTTTTTTAGTCGTCAAATTTAATTTTTAAGCTTTTGAGTCATAAAGGTATGAATTCTTTTTTTCAGATAAATAATTGTTCCTTGAACTCAAATTGTGGGGGTCGTTTCTATTTTACTTTTGGCAATTTGATACGCTAATTTCTTATCCGGGTTTAGCTGCCAATTTCACACAGCGGTCGTGACTCTTGCGCGACGATTTTCTTTTTGCGATTCATCAAGCCACTTGATGTGAAATGGCGATTATAGTTTCAAAGTTTGCCAAAGTTTTTGAAACAGGAATTTATTTCCCAATCATAATGAAGCATATTTCGTTATTTTTATGTTCTGTTCTAATTAAAAAGAATACTTCTTTCTGCATTATACTGTTTTCAAAAAATTCCAAAAGTTCAACAAAAAAATGTTTTATATTTATTTTCTATTCTATAAAAATTATTCCGACTGGACGAAGGATTAGAAATGTAAATTGAATACTGAAAAGTTATAAATTATTTTCTATAATATTTGATATTTTTTCCAATTTTGATTTGTGAAAAGAAATACGATTTTCGTTCTTTCGGAACTAAAAAATTTACTTTTAATGTAATTAGATTTCGATGTTTGTGTTTTTTTTGTCATTTACTTGATTTAATCGTCTCAGTGAAAATTTATGTGACTTTCATTGAATTTTGTAATCTACAAGTTTATTTTCGTTTTTAAAAATTTGTGATTTTTTTTGGATAATTATCGAGAATCAAGGAGAAAGTGTTATCGAACGATTACCTTCTACTCTATATCAGAAATGTCTCAAGCAATCTTCCGCATAAAATTGAAAATATAAATAGCTTTTATCTTTGAAACAACATTATAAGTGGCCTTGCACATTGACTCAAACGAATATCAGAGCATTTTTAGCTTTTGATTTTTGAAGGTCAGAAAAAAAAATCGCAGATTATAATGACTTTAATGTAAAATGACATTTTTTGTTTGTCTTCTCAGTCAAGTGGGTTTCGAAAAAAAAAATTGTTGAATTCATGCTAAATAACAACCTTTTCAAGGCACTTTTTGATGACAAATATATTTTTTGATAATTTGAATTTTATAATTGACTCGTTATCTATAAGAAATAATAAAAACCGTTATTTAATGTCTAGACAATATTCTCGCTGTAAAAGTCAAGGTGAAAACTTATCTGCACTAAAAAAGTTCGGAATTATAAAAATAGGAATCGCCTTTTTTTTAATTTAAAATCCCCAAAAGTGACGTCAGTTACAAATTCTACGTTTTCATTGAAAAGAGAATAATAACTGTGGAAAAATATCTCAAGTTCTGTTTTTTCTCAATTTATTGATTACTTTAATTGAGGAATTTTGACTATAGGAACTGTCAATATTGTTTAAATTGATTGAAAGAAATTTGAATTTAAATAAAGAAAATTCGAACAATATTTTTCACATCGAATATATGAAAATTATGATATAAGTAGAAAAATCTAATGCCAGTTTATAAACGAATTTGTTAATTTGGATATTTTTAGGATGTTTTGCGATGCAATAAATTGATCGTAAATAGCGAAGGTCAGTACAATATTTTTTTTCCGGTTTGTATAGATCGATTCAGATTTTTAAAACAAAGTCCAAGGAAAAGTCACGTTTCACTGTTAGTTTATTCATCAATTTTTTCTTTGATTCTTTATTATCTTGAAATCAATCAAATTTGACAAAATGATATTTGTTTTGTAAATAGTATCAAACAGGAAAAGAAAAAAGAAAAATTTTCAAAATTTTCCTCGAATTTTTCAAAATAGCAAAAGTCACTGGTGAATACAAAAAATATTCAGAGAATAAAATTTCTACTCGTCGAATATTGAATTCAATGGAAAACTGTTTTTGAGATTGATTTCGGAATTTCCGCAAATTACAAAATTTAAAATTCTTTAAAAGAAAAAAGAGAGTGAGAGAGAGAGAGAGATGATTGAACGATATTCTAAATTTGAAACGACGTTTCCTGACTTTCGCTCCGCCCACCTGTCCGTTAAAATGCACCCAAGTCCACGGCTTCCCCGACCTCCGGATTTCGCGTCACTAAAACTCTGATGCAACTGCGTAGCGTCGGGACGCTGCGGTGGATGTCAAGGTCAAGGTCATCGTACCTCTAGCGTTCACCACTTAAAAAGTTGCTCATGAATTTTCCTTGTTTTCGCTTATTATAAATGGAACAAACGAAACAATTGCAGTTTCATGGTCGAAATTCTTGTTTACTCGCATATATATTGAAATTAGAATTCTTCATTTTTACAATTATTTCAAAAACAATATTCGACTGTAAATTTTTATCGCTCACTTTAGTTAGATTAGAAAATTCATGAACGGTTGCATTCCAGATTTTAATTAAACTCTCGAGTGTTCAAATGAACGATGACCATTTTTCTTTATTTTTTTCACAATAAACTTTTTTTTGGAAAATATTTTCCTTGAGTGAAGTTCACAACTTCTATGATCAACGATCGTACGAAAAAAATACTTTTTACGCAAAAAAATATTTTTTGTTTTCGATTTTTTATTATCAGGGTTGCCACGCTTTTGCTCTTTTCAAATTCCCTGACTTTTCCAGGTTTTCCAGGATAAAAAACGGAATTTTTCCAGGTTT